TGAAACATGGTTAGAACTGTGTAGCGAAAAAAACCCTATTTTAAATCAATTAATTTATAATATTAATGCTCTGTAAATTTACATTGAGCACTATTTTGTAAAAATAAAAATATCTATAAGAACACCGGATTATATATCTTACTGTTCTTTTTTTTCATATATATATATATATATATATATATATATATATATAGAGATATATATATATATAGATAGATAGATAGATATATAAAAAAACCAATTAATATAACGTATAAGATTCAAATATAAATCAAACTGATGGCTAAAAGCCAAAATGGGAAGACCCTAAATATAAGATAATATTATCATCAATACCAAAATAGATAAAAGATAGATAGATAGAATCATCAGGGGATGAAAAAGTAAAGATTAATATTGATAATATATATATATATATATATGTATGTATATATATATATATATACTAGCAGATGGCCCAGTAAAAATGGCCGCAAACTACATGAAAACTACTGTAGAATATAAAAAATCGATTATTTCCACTATCGATGGGAGTTGGGAAAATGCAAAAGTCGTGTTGGCCTTCCCGCTAACTTGGAGCATGTGCATGCAAATTTGGTGCAAACTGTCGAAAATTGCGGCCGTGCATTTGTTACACGCATTTATCCTGCCTTACACACACACACATATATATATATATATATATATATATATATATATATATATATATATATATATATATATATATTTATATAAAATTATAATATATAAAATCACTAATAGTCCGAATAATGTAAATAGTGTACATAATACCTCATCTCAGAAATATAGACAGATACTGAAATGCCGAAACGTTGTAATAAATATGGCGACAAAGATGAGGACAATAGTCCGGATAAAAATAGATTAATACCTCATCTCAGAAATATAGATGGATACTGAAAGGGAAACGTTGCAAAAATATGGCGATTGAGGACAATAGTCCGGATAATGTAAATAGTGTACATAATACCTCATCTCAGAAATATAGACAGATACTGAAAGGCCGAAACGTTGTAATAAATATGGCGATTTGATGAGGACAATAGTCCGATTAATGTAAATAGTGTATATAATACCTCATCTCAGAAATATAGACAGATACTAAAGGCCGAAACGTTGTAATATAAATATGGCGACAAAGATGAGGACAATAGTCCGATTAATGTAAATATGTATATAATACCTCATCTCAGAAATATAGAAAATACTGAAAGGCGTTGTAATAAATATGGCGATAAAGATGAGGACAATAGTCCGATTAATGTAAATAGTGTATATAATACCTCATCTCAGAAATATAAACAGATACTGAAAGGCCGAAACGTTGTAATAAATATGGCGACAAAGATGAGGACAATAGTCCGGATAATGTAAATAGTGTACATAATACCTCATCTCAGAAATATAGACAGATACTGAAAAGCCGAAACGTTGTAATAAATATGGCGACAAAGATGAGGACAATAGTCCGGATAATTTAAATAGTGTATATAATACCTCATCTCAGAAATATAGACAGATACTGAAAGGCCGAAACGTTGTAATAAATATGGCGACAAAGATGAGGACAATAGTCCGTATAATGTACATAGTGTAGATAATACCTCATCTCAGAAATATAGACAGATACTGAAAGGCCGAAAGGTTGTAATAAATATGGCGACAAAGATGAGGACAATAGTCCGATTAATGTAAATAGTGTACATAATACCTCATCTCAGAAATATAGACAGATACTGAAAAGCCGAAACGTTGTAATAAATATGGCGACAAAAATGAGGACAATAGTCCGGATAATGTAAATAGTGTATATAATACCTCATCTCAGAAATATAGACAGATACTGAAAGGCCGAAACGTTGTAATAAATATGGCGACAAAGATGAGGACAATAGTCCGATTAATGTAAATAGTGTATATATAATACCTCATCTCAGAAATATAGACAGATACTGAAAAGGCCGAAACGTTGTAATAAATATGGCGACAAAGATGAGGACAATAGTCCGATAATGTAAATAGTGTACATAATACCTCATCTCAGAAATATAGACAGATACTGAAAAGCCGAAACGTTGTAATAAATATGGCGACAAAGATGAGGACAATAGTCCGGATAATGTAAATAGTGTATATAATACCTCATCTCAGAAATATAGACAGATACTGAAAGGCTGAAACATTGTAATAAATATGGCGACAAAGATGAGGACAATAGTCCGTATAATGTACATAGTGTACATAATACCTCATCACAGAAATATAGACAGATATATATATTTTTATATAAAAAAAAAACAATATATTTTTAAAACAAAATAACTAATAATAGATTTTATCTCTAGTTTAAAGTAAACAGTTGCGTTCAAAATATATTTAGTTGAAGCCGTAAAGATTATTTACGTTTCGATAAATAACCGGTAGAGGTTGACATGCCGCTAAACAAACCCAACCAACCAAAAGTCTCACAGGAATACAGAAAACATGGCAGCAATCACACAGTGTAGACTGCCATCTTTAAGTCATTTCTTAGATCAGACTTGATCTTTCAGAACCGCGAAAATATCAGTTTCTTTCTTCACACGAGCAGATGTTTAATCGTCAAAAGTGCCGTGTGTGTTTATACTATCCCCAAGGTATATGAATACGTCCTTACATACAGTGTAAACCGGATATAAGAGACCCGGATGTAAGAGAGATTTTCTCTGGTCCCAAATTAGAGCCTGTGTTAATGTATTTATAATAGGCCAAACTCGGATATAAGAGACTTCTTCTCCGGTTGCGACAACTCTCTTATATCCGGGTTAAACTCTATATCCAAATAATAATAATAATATTAATAATAATAGTAATAATTGTGATTCTGTCTATAATTCTGAGATGAGGTATTATAACTATTTACGCTATTCACATCGTTCACACTGTTGTCCTCATTTTTATTTTCATGTTCTCGACGTTTCGGCCGTTGTACGCTCCGGACTTCTTCAGGATCTATCGATATTTCCGAAATGAGGTATTGAAACTATTTACACTATTCACACCGTTCACACTGTTGTCCTCATTTTTACTTTCATGTTCTCGACGTTTCGGTCGTTGTACGCTCCGGCCTTCTTCAGGATCTATTGATATTTCTGAAATGAGGTATTGTAACTATTTACGTTGTCCTCATTTTAATTTTCATGTTCACGACTTTTCGATCATTGTACGCTCCGGTCTTCTTCAGGGTCTGTCTATATTTCTGAGATGAGCTATTGTTCCTATTTACAATATTTACATCTTTCGAACTGTGGTCCTCATTTTTATGTTCATGTTCACGACGTTTCGGCTGATGTGCTCTCAGGTCTTCTTCAGAATCTTTCTATATTTCTGAGATGAGGTATTGTAACTATTTACACTATGTACATCGTTCGATCTGTTGTCCTCATTTTTATTTTTCATGTACACCACGTTTGATCCTCACTGGGTGCTCCCTACTTTCGGCCTTGTGCCACATCTAAGCTACGCTTGGAAAAGCACCATATACGCTGCACTTTCGAAAGTCGGCCTGTGCGCTTCGGCGCGCTGTAATGACTAGCAAGCTTGTCTCGCTAGATCGGTTATGCCTGAATAGCGAGTTCGATCCTCACTGGGTGCCCCCTAATTTCGGCCTTGTGCCACTTCTAAGCTACGCTTGGAAAATCTCCCTTCAAATGATCACATTTATTGGAACGCTTTTATATATCTCGTCTTCGCAGAAGTTTTAGTGAATTAACAAGTCAGCCATTTTTTTTTAAACAATATAAAACAATTTCTTGATTTAGGGCTAAGAAGTTTTCACCCATCTCTGGCTGTTGTTTGAAGGTATTACAAAAATAATAACAATTCGTTTTCCTTCCCCAGACTCGAAACAGAATCTTACTTGCGCATTCCCACCCCCAAAGAGAAAACTTTTTAATTTATTAACGCTGTTTATTTTATTCTATTTATCTAGTTGTTAAAATATTTTATCTTTGGCGGCGAAAACAATAAATCTAATTTTGGGAAACGCAATCCTCAAATGCACAAAGGGACAAAAAAAAAAAAACAAAAAAAAAAAAAACACCAGTACCAGCTTAGGGTACACGGGGGAAAAAAACGTACCCTCAATAAAAAAAAAAAAATACAAAAAAAATGGAGAAATCACATCATGCAGAAACCCCAGCGTTTTAATTTTTTTTTTTTTTTTGTTCTTCATATTCCAAAAAAAAAATCGTTATTATTAATTTATTTTCATCTATTTTAGCGTTCCTTTCTAGGTTTTCAGTAAATTAGAAAGTAAGTCCTTTTGGAATTCGCTAAAGAATATTCGTTTTTAATTTAATATTGAGCTCGCGAGGATTAGCTTAATGGTAAGAAGAATGGCCTTCAAGAAAAGCGCCATATTTCCCGCCTACCTTCATTGAGCAGAGGCGTCCTGCGTATGACTATAAACTACACCCGGCTGCAATTTCGCTAATTTTTGAGGTTTTTAGAAGCGTGGAACCACCTCGCGTTGCTGTTGTTCCCAGGTTCAACCTGACTCGGTGTGGTAACAACTGTTACGGTCCCATGGGCAAATAGTTAACCTCAGGGGTCAAAACACGATGAAGGTATAAAAATATATTTTTAATAGTAGAAATAACAGCAAAATATTTTCGAAAAGGAAATATTACCAGCAATACATTTTTATAAAAGGAAGTAGCAGCATGGCCCGGCGTTGCCCGTGCTTGATTAAAAAATCGTACGACTCATACAGCAATCGCTATCACTTGACTTAAAATATGTTTACCCTTCCTTGCCTTTAAAGGAGTGCCCTTGCCGTGCTGATGTTGCTACATGCCTTACTTCTTGCCTATCTCACACTGCGAATTTTTTCTAAGCTCTATACTAAACATTAAATCTGTTACGAAAAAAGAACTAAACAAAATGAACACAAAACGATCAGCTTTAAAAAAGGACTCGTAACTGGAAAAACCGAATGAAAAAAGAATGTTAACAACAAATACTTTTTCATACTCAACCCAGTTCTGCAGAATCAGAATCAACGTTGAGTTTAAGCAAGCAAATGAGCCAATTAGAGTAAAGTGCCATACAGATTTAAATTTTTCTCACTTGTGACGAATGCAGCTATCGATTTTTTTTTGCATGCTAGCATGCTAGTTAACATTTGTGTCAGTCAGCTGTTGGCTCTCATGCTGGCCAATACAATCTTCCTGTCTATTCATGGCAGCCAACTATAGGCTCTCACTCTGGCCAGTACAAAATGGCCGCAAACTAAATGAAATCTGCTGTAGAATCATGAAAAAATCAATTATTTCCACTATCGATAGGAGTTTGGAAATGCAAAGTCGGTCTTGGCCTTCCCGCTAACTTGGAGCATGTGCATGTAAATTTTGGTGCAAATCTGTCGAAAATTGCGGCCGTGCATTCGTTACACAGACACACACACACACATCCTGCCTTTTATGGATAGAGATTACTAATCCCCACAAGAAAATTAAATTTTGGTATTAATTGACTCACAAATAATTGATACGCCGCTAAAGAAAAAATAAACTAATTTCTTACAAAGAATACATATTCTATTCATACGAATCTATCCTAAAAATCTTGTCGGCATTAAATAACCCAATGAGGTGTTGATATGCCGTAAAACAAAATAAACCAAACCTGATCTACAAACTGTTTTCTTACAAAGAATACATATTCTATTCATACGAACCTATCCTAAAAATCTTGTCGGCATTAAATAACCCATTGAAGTGTTGATATGCCGTAAAACAAAATAAACCAAACCTGATCTACAAACTGTTTTCTTTACAAAGAATACATATTCTATTCATACGAACCTATCCTAAAAATCTTGTCGGCATTAAATAACCCATTGAAGTGTTGATATGCCGTAAAACAAAATAAACCAAACCTGATCTACAAACTGTTTTCTTACAAAGAATACATATTCTATTCATACGAACCTATCCTAAAAATCTTGTCGGCATTAAATAACCCATTGAAGTGTTGATATGCCGTAAAACAAAATAAACCAAACCTGATCTACAAACTGTTTTCTTACAAATAATACATATTCTATTCATACGAACCTATCCTAAAAATCTTGTCGGCATTAAATAACCCAATGAGGTGTTGATATGCCGTAAAACAAAATAAACCAAACCTGATCTACAAAGTGATTTCTTACAAAGAATACATATTCTATTCATACGAACCTATCCTAAAAATCTTGTCGGCATTAAATAACTCATTGACTTTTGTCCTCATTTTTACTTTCATGTTCACGGGCTTTCGGCCGTTTTAATCTACGGCCTTCTTCAGGATCTGTCGATATTTCTGAGATGAGGTATTGTAACTATTTGAAGTGGACTTTAGGAGGAAACAAGGAATAATCTTGTACTTCTGTTCAAAACACTAAGGTGGAGTGTAAACCGAGCGATAATGATTTAGTCCTACAAGTTTTACTAATTAACCCATAGCTGGGGGGGGTAGAAGAGGTAGATTTCTGCGTAAGTGAATATATCAAAAACAGCAGGAATTGGAACTCGAATCCTCAAAAGGTCACCCAGTCTCGATGTTGCTTAACTTTGGTGATTTTTCGGGAACCGATGTTTCACAATGAGGTGGCCGTAAGCCGGTATCGCGGTAACAATATTATAAAAAAAAAAAAGAAAGCTATATCTGTATTTTTGAGATGATGAATTATTATTATGTCGCTGTGTATTTGAATTTTCCTTCTCATCTTGCCCAGTCTTCACCTTCCACTCCAGGCCAGGCAATGAGACACGGGGTGAGAGGGTCTACTGGGAGTGAACTAGAATGACATGGGATGGAGTGCGAACCGTAGAACAGGTGAACCTATCTACACCTAATCAATCTATCTATCTATCTATCTATCTATCTATCTATCTATCTATCTCAGCCTGTTTTTTTCTATCTATCTATCTATCTATCTATCTATCTATCTATCTATCTATCTATCTATCTATCTCGCTCTGTTCCTATCTATCTATCTATCTATTTCAGTCTGTTTCTTTCTATCTATCTATCTATCTCGCTCTGTTCCTATCTATCTATCTATCTATCTATCTATCTATCTCAGCCTGTTTCTTTCTATCTATCTATCTATCTCGCTCTGTTCCTATCTATCTATCTATCTATCTATTTCAGCCTGTTTCTTTCTATCTATCTATCTATCTATCTATCTATCTATCTATCTATCTATCTATCTCAGCCTGTTTCTTTCTATCTATCTATCTATCTATCTATCTATTTCAGCCTGTTTCTTTCTATCTATCTATCTATCTATCTATCTCAGCCTGTTTGTTTCTATCTATCTATCTATCTATCTATCTATCTATTTCAGCCTGTTTCTATCTATCTATCTATCTATCTATCTATCTATCTATCTATCTATCTGAGTCTATTTATGATCTATCTCTCTATCTATCTGTCTGTCTGTCTTGTTAGGTCGCTCCCTAGTTAAATTTGCCTTCTCATCTTGCCCTGTCTTCACTTTTCACTCCAGACCAGACAAAGAGACAGAAGAGGCTATTGGGAGTGAAATAAAATATGGCTTGGGATGGAATGCGAACCGTACTACAGTTGGACCCGTCTACGCCTAATCTATCTATCTATCTATCCCGCTCTGTTCTATCTATCTATCTATCTATCTATCTATCTATCTATCTATCTATCTATCTATCTATCTCAGCCTGTTTCTTTCTTTCTTTCTATCTATCTATCTATCTATAGCCTGTTTCTATCTATCGATATCTATCTATCTATCTATATCTATCTATCTGTCTATCTCGGTCTTTTCATATCTATCTATCTATCTATCTCAGCCTGTTTCTTTCTATCTATCTATCTATCTATCTATCTAAGCCTGTTTCTATCTATCTATATCTATCTATCTATCTCGGTCTTTTCATATCTATCTATCTATCTATTCATTCATCCATCTATCTATCTATCTATCTCAGCCTGTTTCTTTCTATCTATCTATTTATCTATCTATCTATCTATCTATCTAAGCCTGTTTCTATCTATCTATCTATCTATCTATCTATCTATCTATCTATCTACCTATCTATCTCGGTCTTTTCATATCTATCTATCTATCTATCTTATGTCGCTCTCCATTTTCAATCCCCGTTAGAGTCCAAAAAGCGTCTCTGCGTTCTTGTAGGCGACGAATTATTTTCCACCCTGCAACGTCTTTCTCACAGGCGAGGCGTCGCAAGCCTATCGCTTCTCTGTCGCCCTTTCCATGTTAAGCGTTCAGATGAACTACAGCCCTAAGTAAGACCAGTCCCAAGATTCACGGTTAAGACCCGCCATACCAATCACATTGTATCGAAACACTCTCATTCCCGTCATATCTCTCTCTCCATGGTGTGATGTAAGTCCCACTCAAGAACCTTCTTCCCACAAACAACACGGAGCTCCGTGGAACCGACTCCCAAGAGGATGCTTTCCCGATCACTACAATCTTAACCTAGAGTTAACCGTTATCTTTCCCACATATCCGCATAAACTGTGCCTCTTACTCTGTAACCCTCTACACGCTTTGTGGAACTGACTCCCAAGAGGATGCTTTCCCGATCGCTACAATCTTAACCTGTTCAAGTCTAGGGTTAACCGTTATCTTCCCCACATATCTACATAAACTGTGCCTCTTTATCTGTAACCCTCTACCTGCTTTGTGGAACCGACTCCCAAGAGGATGCTTTCCCGATCACTACAATCTTTTCCTATTCAAGCCTAGGGTTAAACGTTTTCTTCGGCACATATCCGCATAATCTGTGCTCTTAGTCATATAACTCTCTACCTCGCGCGACCCTCAGGCCTTGTACAGGGTTAATGTCACTGAAAGAAAACAGAGCCTTGTGATTAAGACACCCTTGGGGTAATTTCCCCGATCCCTACATTCTTAACCTATTCATGTCTAGGGTCAACCGTCACATTGAGCGAATTTCGAATCCAGCCCTTTATTTAGTCAAAAAGTGAGTAAATTGGTCGAGTTCCATGTGCTATGCCTTTGCCTCTGATCAGTACTAAATTAAAAAAAATAGGAGCTCGGCGAGATATCCTTCGACATGGGTAGTGGAGCGACTACAGTCTAATCCCGTGGATTAAATAATGGTTTTACTTTCGAATTTTTCTGTAGGTTACCCAGAACGTTTTAACATGGTGTTCCGGTTAAATTTGATATTTTTTAAAATGAAAAACATGATGAATATCTAACCAAAATAAAAATTTATTTACACCGTCTACCTTAAGTGGCCATCAGACCTTGTACAGAATGAATGTTACTATAAAAAAAAAAAAAGTCAGATGCTTGTGGAACCTACTCCCAAATGGACTGCTTCTCCGATCACTATTATCTTAACCTATTCAAGCCTAAGGATAACCGTCATCTTCCAAATATATCCGCATAAGCTGTGCTTATCATGTAACCCTGTACCACGAGGGGTTCTCATGCCTTGTACAGTGAATGTGTCTGTAAAAAAAACAGTCTTGTGGAACCGACTCCCAAGAGGATGCTTTCCCGGACGCTACAAATCTTAACCTGTTCAAGTCTAGGGTTAACCGTTATCTTCCGTACATATCCGCATAAACTGTGTCTCTTACTCTATAACACTCTACCTGCTTTGTGGAAACGACTCCCAAGAGGATGCTTTCCCTGTCGCGACAATCTTAACCTGTTCAAGTCTAGAGTTAACCGTTATCTTCCCCACATATACACATAAACTGCGCCTCTTACTCTGTAACACTCTACCTGCTTTGCGGAAACGACTCCCAAGAGGGTGCTTTCCCGGTCGCTACAATCATAACCTGTTCAAGTCTAGAGTTAACCGTTATCTTACAGACACACACACGCACACACACACACACAACACAACACACACACATACAAAAAAAACAAACAAACACAATCTCCGTACAAAATTGCGTGCCAACCCTTGCCGCAAAAAGTCAATGTTTGCATAAGCACCCGCAATTTTTTTCCGGTCTCCTTTTTTTTTTTTCACACACACAAAAGAAGAGACAAAAGATACGTTGAGCATATTCAAAATGGCGAAGCGTGTGACTTCATTCAATAAGTTGAATAAATAAATATGTAAAGCGGGAGAGGTGGGGGCGTAATGATCGGTGTTAAAATAATTCCTTTCGTCATCGACAAAAAATCAGCAGTATAAATCTCCCACCAAGCGACGCGGCCGGGGTGAGGATGTGAAAGGAGTGTCTCAATCAACAGCCTATTTTACTACGACCAAAAAAGTCTCCAGTCACCGCTTGACAAACCAAGACGGGCGTGATACAGTATCTTTGACTGTCGACAGATACGAAGTAGGTCGTATTCCCGCCATTTTTTTTTTTTTTTCATCCTGTCGTCTGTTTTCAACCATTTTATTTCGCTTCGTCTAATCAGCTCTGGATATTGCGACAACTGATGAGACTTGAGACATGGGCTTGGTTCGTCATTTAAAAATAAAATAAAATAAAATAAAAAATAAAATAGTGAACGATAATAATTTAATGTGAATGCGTAAATAAAGAACTCGTTTGATTAAGCGATCTGTTGAAATAACGTTTAGACTTACAATGACGTTTTATTTTGCGGAATCTTTATCTCAACATTTCATCGTTTGAAATCGAGAGATATTGCCGGAGCTGGAGACATCTGCTGAGTAAAGTTCTTGAAAGGCAAAAAGATGGTGTTAATGACGGCATCACGCTTAAGTAAGCAGACGAGGCTAATTTTCTCGTATAATATTTTTCACCCAATAAAAGATTCAAGAGACACTCAAGGGGGTTATTGCGCGTGCTTAAGAGGAAGTACCGTATTTGACGGCATATAAGGCGCACTTTTTTTTTTTACTAATAATATCTTTTAATACTCTTCTGCGTCTTATATGTCTGCCATATGCTATGCAGGTTTACTAATTTTACTAATTAATAATTTTTCCTTGATTTGCCCTGCTGAAATTTGGGTGCGTCCTATACACCCGTGCGTTTAATATGCCGTCAAATACGGTAAGTAAAAAGTACATATTATTTCAAAATATATATATATAATCATGCACAGACAGACTGTTTCGCGGTATCACAGCTCATCAGTGTAGCTAGACGGCCGGTTGCCTCTAGCTTGGATCGAAACCCGACTGAATTGGCGACAGTCGGGGATTCTACTACTAAATCATTGTCGCACAGCAGGGATGAAGGTGAATTTAAGTGTATTTATTTTTAGATAAATACACAGTGACTGAAAACTCGATTGGATTTACTGAAGAGTCCTGCGAATATATATATATATATATATATATATATATATATATATATATATATATATATATATATATATGTGTGTGTGTGTGTGTGTGTGTGTGTAAGAAAATATATGGATATAAATGCGACAGTATGAAGAAAAATATATACGGAAAAAACAAACAAAAATCCTTATATACAATTATGCTGTTTTAATGTTAATATGTCAACGTCGGACGTTTCGGTCTAATAAACCATCTTCAGGACATATTCATAAATTATAACATTATCAATACAACATGACAAAGACGATGTACATAAGAACAAGACTTATCCAAACAAATAACTGAAAGTTTTATAAGATCTTAACGTGGTCTGTTTTTTATTCAAACGAAAAATATATATATATATATTCGTAAGTAGGCATCTATGCAGATGACACTACTATTTACTCCTGCCTCAATAGCAAATCCGGCTTTGCTGACAAAGCTAACCTGGCTGTGGGTCTCGAAAAGGACTTCCAATCTGTTGCTGACTGGGGCAAGAAATGGCTGGTTAACTGTAATGCCTCGAAAATAAAACTGTTCTCTTTTACCCACCACACAGATCCCTTCCTGCCTCTCATTAGAATGTCTTCACGGGTGCACCTCTTTGCGACTGCTTGGTTTAACACTGTCCGTTGACCTGAGATGCAACAAATATATTGAATCACTAGCTTACTCTACCGCAAGGAAAATTAGTTATCTGTGTCGCGCCAGAAAGTTTTTCTCGCCTGAGTCCATCCATCAAATCTATAAATCAACCATTCGCCCTTACATGGAATACTGCTGCCATATGTATGGTCCGGAGCCCCCGATATTCGTCTTAAGGTCTTTGACAAAATTCAGAGACGGATATACAATGTGATTGGCTCTGATCTGGCATGACTTTTGCAGTCGTTCTCTCACAGACGTGCCTTCGACTCCCTCTGTCTTTTCTACAAATACTTTCACAGTAACTGCTCCTACGAGCTACGTTCGCTAGTTCCCAAGCTGCGTGAATTTAAGCGTGCTACTAGGCTGGCAACTAGGTCCCACCCTTTCGCTGTCGAAACGGTCAAACGTAGCTGTCTCTTCATAGCTTCATGTCTCGCACTTCCCGTGTGTGCAACTCCCTTCCTATTACTTGTTTCCCTGATAGCTATAATCTCCAACTAT